TGGGAGAAGAGCACGCACTGCACAGCTCTGGCCTGATGGGTACACGCTGCTGAAGTCAGCGGAGACGGCTGCCTGTCTGTAAGAGGAGAGCTTAACTACGGACATCCATCACTCTGATTTATCCCTTCCTGACACTTACATTGCTTGGCTTCGTTCACAAGGTTATTGTCACTGGCAAACGCTGCATTACAGATCTATTGCTTCATTTAAAATCCTCTGTTAATCGGTTTACTAAGAACTGTTAATCCAACGCTGCTGCCACTGGCATTTCACACAAGGGACAAAATGCAGTATTGATTTTTACTTCATTTATCTTCATATTTTTGCTCTTGCCATGGCTAAATATTAGTCAGCAAGAGCCTCTTCCAAAATGGTATTCTGCTTTTTTCTCATATTCTCATCACAGGTCTGTAGTTGAAATAAGAAATGATGAAAACAGGTTACCAGATCCTCTCCTTCCTTTCAAATAATTGTTGGTTGGTTGCTTTGTAAATCTACTTACTGTATGCAGATGATGCTGAGCTCAGTTGCTCCGCAGCACATTTTTCTGTATCCACCAGACTCCTCATCTTAAACAGAACTCCTTGCATCTTGCATATCTGTTCATACATCTAAACAAGTCTCAATTTAAACATTCCAATCCATAAGTTATACAGGTCCTGATGCTTTCTGACATCTGGCAGCTTTAAACTGCAGCAGTTCTGCCCTTTTACACTCAAACAAAGCCTCATTTTTATCCTAAACTCAGTTACGTTACCAGAACTCCAATCTCAAAACACCTATACAGAGCTTCTGTGCCCCAGAGCTCAAGTAGGTGAACCAAAGGCTAATCTTCCCAAAGAAATGACCAAAAAAAAAAAAATTCTAGTGTTTATCTGATGATATTCCAATGAACATCAACAACTGAGCCAGCAGCCCACTGCTAGTGAACCAAAATCTTATGTTAACATAGAAATACTGCCCAAGATATATCTCATACTATATGAATGTAACAGACTAAAGGAAAAAGAGTAGTCACCCAGTCTGAATAGTACCTGCAGTGCTGCTGTAGTCAGGACACTGAGATGGCTGAACTCAAGAGATGTTTCAGTGACTTTAATTCCTCCTGAGACAGAACATAAACCTTGCTTCTTAATTTTTGTGCATTAGTAGTTTCCCACTTCATACCTAAAAACAGTATATGTTTTAGGTAAGTCTTCAAAACATAAATTAATCAGCCAACTGTGCTGATAAACCAACGCACAGCGATCAGTGTTCCTTGGAGCAAAGCACATAAATCCCCTCTCACCTCCAGAGGCTGTCAGACGTTGGTAAGTGGCTTGGGGCTCCGCTGGGAACAGCCCTGCTCTGCTGAGCTCCTTAGGCACAAACACCGTGTCAGCCACTCAGAGAGGAGTGGGGCGAAGCACAAGAGAGTGAAACAAGGACTGCTGGTTTACCCTGGCACTGATGAAGTCTTAAAACAGGCACAGTCTCTATGCTGCTGGTTCCATCAAGCCTTAACTTTCAAATGTTCTAGCTGCGACAATGTTTATCGCATAATATTCACCGACTGTCAAATGGATTAAAAAAAAAAGAAAGAATAAGACACATTACTGGATATTTTTAGTTTTATTTTTTAAATAAGCTTCATGACTACATGTCCAACACAAATCTAACCTCTTCGGCTCCAAACAGAGCCTATAATTAGAAACCTCATTTGTTCTGGTTGTCAGGAGAGCTGTTTTCTCTGGGGAATGTTGTGGGAAGGAAACCTGGGAAGAACTGTAACAACCAAACAACATGGAACTTCTTAATAATGGACACTGCTAGCACAAAACCATGCCAACTACACTTGAGTAGTTACAAACAGCACTGTACCCCAAGAAACTGCTTTCTTCCAAAATAAAGTGCTTTCGTCTCTCTTCTTATTGAAATGCCACAAGCCACTGTGCAAACTCATGTGGAACAGATATAAAAAAGGGTTTCTGCACCCAGAAGTCTGTTTTTCACATGGATGCCAGCTCATCCACTGAAAACAAAGATACAAATCTTCTGCACTGGTAGCAGAGCAAGACGGTCACCTCGTTGGGATGAGCCTTTCACCTACTGCCTTTTGCCTCTCCTCTGCATGGCTCCTCTGCTCTCTCACATCCGGCTTCCATTTCCAGCTTTCTTTATATTAACTTCCTCTCCCACCCTCATTACCACACCTGCAAATCCCACAGAGAAACACAGAGGAGGGAAGGGAGGAAATCACAACAGTGTGGCAGGGTAGCACCCCAAAAGGCTGAGCCCCCAAGAAGCCCCAAGAATCCTGACACAGCGCAGGGTCAGGATGCCCAGGAGGTGCAAAAGCTGTGAAGGCCAAGAACAATAATGGGAAGAGAGGCAGAAATTGGACCTCAAATGGGGAAGGACAGCACTGAGCACAAGGCAGCCGGCACGGACTGAGGAGCAGCAAGAAGGTGTGTGCTTCTGGAAACCACAAGAAGCAACTGCATTTTTCTTGCTAACATTTCTAGAGAGCCCTGGGTGAAATAGTAAAAAAAAAAAAACAAACAAACAAACAAAAAAACAGCATAAACAACAAAAGTTCTTTTCTTCTTACAGAGAACAGCAGCATCCAACAGTCAAACTTTGTACCTCCATGATATTTTACACAGCACTTCCAGCAGAATTCAGCCATCCTGTGCACACACCACTCAGCACTCAGATGCTGAACGCAAGATTTGTCCTCTCCTCACAACCAGGAGCCCATGACCTGCACAGCACTGCCTGTTCTTGGAGCAGAACTTCCCCAGAAGCAGCCTCCTGTGTAAGAGAGATATCTCATCGGGGGATTCCCTGAGTACCTGCAGCCTCCCAGTGAGACGCATGGCTGGGAACTAATCCATGGCAGCACTCAAAGACCACCACCCCCCAAGCTGTGTGAGAAAGGAGAGGTAAGGAGAGGATTTACATCAACACTGCTAGGAGTGGGAGAGTGTGTGGAGGTGGCCTGTGGAAGTGCAGGAACGCAGGCAGGAAGATGCACTTCCCTCAGACATATGGCCAGGCGTGCAGGAGCAGGCAGGACTGTTTTCACTTTTCCTGAAAAGATGGGGGTGGGCGGGATGAAATAGGGAGAGAAAGGGGTCAGCTTTCAGAAGTTTGCAAAATGTCTTCTTTTGGTATTTTCTCTGGAGGGAGTGGACGATTTCCAAAGGCTTCATCATACAGAAGCACGGGTCTGATCTTGCTAAAGCCTTTGCGCATGGGTAACTTCACCTCACATGAGCAGTCACACTGGCACGACAAAAATATTTACAGTTCCTCCTTTTTCATTTAGTAAATGAGTCACCATGAGCACAAAAAAGGGCCACGTTCAGTTTAATCCAGTCAAAAAAAGTTGCTTGTATTTGGGTGACACAGACACAGATTCAGGTTTGAGATCTTTCAGCTTCAAGTCTGCATCTTTAATTGAATGAAGCTACAAATGTTGGATTGCTAACCTTCATTTCTTCTGCAAAAAAAAAAAAAAGGTTGGTAGCCCACTGCACTGCCTACACAGCAAAATTCAGTAAGACTGAAAAACGAGCTGAACACCTCAGCCCCAAAACACCCCACTGCCTGCAACACTCTGTAATGATTTTAATGCTTCAGGTTTTTAAAAGTGGTAGAGAGGAAGAGACAAATCTTTCCACATCCTGCAGAAGACTTGGCAAAGCCCAAAGACACTATTACAGAACTCTTACATCAGAATTGGTATCAATCCATTTTACCCTGTCTCAGCCATAGAAACTGAGATACGTAAGACCATTCCTCTCCATTAAATGGAAGACAAAAATTCACAAAGCTACTCTATTTCCTTTTTTCCTTCTTTTCTTTGGAAATATATGCAAAACAAGTCCAAGAGCTGCCACTGGGTAGTTCTGCAGGCATAGCACACCGTGAGCTCCAAGTTGTAACCAATCTTTTCACTTAAAGAACAGGAGTAAGGAGGAGTTAAGACAGAAGGATAAAAGTAATTGCCACCACTTTGTCTTCAGCAAGAATAAAAAAATACCCTGCAAAACTTAGCATCTGTATAGTTGAGAAAGACACAGAAACAATAACTGATAGCTCCCCTTTTTCTTCTTTGCTCAAGGGGACATAGTATGCATTTTTTGACTAAACCTCAAATACAAACCAAAAGTAACATCCTCATACATACAAAGAGTCTTATTATGATTGTTATTGCTGGAAGGGGAAACTCACTCTTACTGGCCACATGACTGTTGAAACCTACATTCAGCATTGTTTGGGGATTTTTTTCTTTCCTCTCTAACTCATTAGACACAGTGCAACTGGCAATAACTTTATAACTAGAAACATTTAGCTGAGTGTTTCTGACGCTGCAGAGTCAGCAATACAGATGAATTTGTTCCATGCTACCCAGTACGTACTTAAACACATATCCTGCAGCATCTCACCACAATACTCTTTGGGGAAGGGCTACCAGACCAGAACATCACATTTTTGTTTTTCCTTCACCCCTTGATTGAGAACATTAACATCACACACAGTGATTTACATGTTTGCACAATCCACCTCTTACTTAACAAGTACTTGCTAAGACAACTCATGCAGCAGCATTACGAAGCAAAGACACAAGCATGTTTTTAGGACTTGAAACAAGACCTGTGGCCTCTCACATCCCATTATACAGCAACCACCCACAGTCTGGCAGCAGTGAGGTACCTGTTCACAGAGCACTGTGACTCTGTAATCTTCTTTTGCAAGGAGGGACACCTTAATGCAGCCTTTCACTACTTACAGTGGGGTTATAAGAAAGACAAAAAGGTTTTACAAAGGCACGTAGCAATAGGACAAGGGGTAATGGCTTTAAACTGAAAGAGTTAGTCTAGGTATGATGAAAAAATTCTTTACTCAGAGGGCAATGAGGCTCTGGCACAGACTGCTCAGAGACGGGAATGCCCCAACCCTAGGTGTTCAAGGCCAGGTTGGGTGGGGCTTTGAGCAACCTGGTAAAATGGGAGATGTCCCTGCCCATGGCAGGGGCTTGGAACAGTGTGGGCTTTAAAGTCCCTTCTAACCCAAGCCATTCTGTGTTTCGTATGGGCCAGGTGGTAGCTAACTCCAGCCAAGCAGGTCAGATGAAGTTCAAGGACGCTCAGCAGGACCTGCCAGCTTTCAGAGTCACTGGAATTCACAGGAAGCTAGAACTCAACATGGATGAGAAAGAGATGACCTCTCAAGAAGAGAACCGCAAAAAGCACCCTGGGGAGGCAGCAACGACATGGTGAAATGCTGGTCCCAGGATACCTGCACAAGGCACCCAGGCTCAGGTGTACGCAGAGGGTGTGCCCAGGCACCCTGCCAAACTCTGTGAAGGAAACCAAAGCTCAAGAAAACTCCGTGCACTTCCTCAGATGGGAGCAGGAGCTTCCTGAGGGGTGGTTACAGGGCTCAAAATTTAAGTAAGTCACAAATGAGGAATAAGTTGTGGAACCTTGGAGAAACAGAAACCAAGGTTGGCTTCTGCAGCACAGCATAACCTAGGGGAAGGGCTGTGGGCAACCACGACTCTTGATAAGCCCCACAAGTTGATCAGAGGGCACCAGGCTCAGCTAAGTTCCTAGCTGAGTCTCCATGCAGCAGGGAAAACATAGCAGGAGTTGTACAAACACTGACCAGAGGTCCAAGCAAGCAGCAGGAGCAAGGGAAGGGGAGCCAGCATATGGAAAACTGACTCATCAGCTTCCAAGGATAAAGCCATGCTTAGAAAGAAACGTCGCGCTTCAGAAAAGACAAACGAGAGGAGCTGGGCTGCTTCAGCTAAAGAAACACAGCGTTTACCCCACTGCTGTGCTGCCAGGAACCTGAGCGTTCTGCTCTCCCGAAGGGAGTTTCGCTCGGCTGCCCGAGTTCCCCAGCACTTCTTGCCCCGCGCTGCCCGTAGATCCTCCTTAGAGGCGGACGTTTCAGCGCTGACTACGAAGGGTTCGGCTTTTTGTTGTTTTTACTCGGCTCTTCACTTCAAAGTCCTCTTACAGCCGATCTCCTCCGAGCACTTCAACCACTCCACCGCGGCCGAGGGCCCTTCCCCGCCGCCCGGACGGCAGCCAGGCTGCCACGCACCGCACTCAGCGCCGACACGACGCGCGCAGCCCCGCCGGTGACTCGCTACCGAGCACACGCGCCGTTCAACCCCGTCCCCAGCCTGCCCGTTCGGCCCTTCGGGACGGATTTCAGAGGTGCAGCCCGCCGCCCGCGGGACCCCGGAGCTGGCGGGGGAGCGCCGAGGCGAGGCGCCCCTTCGGAGAGCGGCGCACACGTGTGGCGCGGGCCGGGCCCCGAGCCGGCGCTCGGCACTTACTTGCGGGGCGGCGCGGGTCTTGCCCGGCGGCCTCCTGAAGAAGGAGGTGCGCGCGGTGAAGAAGTACTCCTCGGAGTCCTCCTCCTCCAGGCTGCTGTAGCCGCTGCTCATGCTGCTGGTCCAGGTCATCGGCGGCTCCTAGTGCTGCTGTCGGTACGGGAGGGGCCCGGCGGCGGAGAGCTCCGTCCCGGCCGCCGCATGGGGCCCCGCCGCGGCCGCTCCTCTCCCAGCGCCGCCGGGCCCGGGGCGCGGGAGGAGGAGGAGAAGGAGGAGGAGCCGCTCGCCGGCTCCCGCCCTCCCTTCCTGCCGCACGAGTTTCCGCGGGGCAGCGGCGCGCCGAGCCCGGCCGACACCTCCCGCTTCCCCGCCCGGCCCCGAGGAGCTCCGCTGACGGCCGCCGGGGCGGGCTGGGAGCGCGCGGCCGGAGATGAAAGGCCGGGCGTGGGCCGCAGGTCGCCGGAGCTCCGGCCGGGCGCTGCCCGCCCCCGGGCCTTCCAGCGGGGAGGTGGCCGAGGGGGCGGCTCGCCGGGGGACTTTGCCCTAATAATGCGTTCAACAGTAACCGCCGTCGGAACGGCTGCGAGTCTTTCTCGGTTTGTTCTAGGAGAAAGACTCCTAGGAGAACTTGAATTTAAACTTGGCAGCTGGCCGCTACTGCGGCGCTGCCTCGCCCCGCCGCGGGCCCGCAGAGATAAGCGCGAGGAATCCAGCGCCCCGGGCTGCCGTGGCGGCGGCGCCGCGAGGGCGCGGGGATGGGACGGCGCGCGGAGGGAACGCACCGCCGCGACCGCGGCTGGAAAACGTGCTCAGAAACGGCAGCTCTGGGATGATGCGGGGCATAAATCACGCTCGGCCACCGGCGGGGGAAGTGGCAGACAATGCCTAAAGGCCGGCTCGCTCCGTAATTACCTGCTTCGGGTTTTCTCATCTCTTCCATTCATTTATCTAGCGCTGGTCGCTGTCAGCGACAGGATATTGGCTTTAAGGCACGGCTTCCTCGGCCCGCACAGCTGCCCAAAAAGTAGACCTGCCTTTCCTGCTACGCTAATCTTATGCCACTGATCCCGAGGGGAAAGTGAACCTGGAGCAGGGCCTGCAACCAGGGCAAGCGGTGGGAGTGAGGGCAGGAGGCATCTCCGGCAGCAGCATGGCCTTGAATTAGTTTAAGTGGATGTGAAGCTGTGTGTCTACCAAGCCTGATCCAGCGCATTGTAGTCTTCGTGCTCAGCCATGGATGTGCCTGGGTTCCCATTGCTGATGCCTCCTTTCAATCTTTTCTGTCCCTGTCTCGCTTGCCCTTCATGATCTGGTTAGAAACTTCTCAGAAGGAGTGGTGAGGCTCTGGCACAGGCTGCCCAGGGAGGTGGTGGAGTCACTGTTCCTGGAGGTCTTCAAGAAACGTGGAGATATGGCACTGAGGGATGTGGTCAGTGGGCATGGAGGGCATGGGTTGGTGGTTTGACTGGATGATTTTAGTGGTCTTTTCCAGCCTGAATGATTTTATGATTTTTCACCAGCTGTGTGCATGCAGCTCATTCTGTGCCCACGCTCCAATGAGGATGGAGTCAACTCGGTGCTCTTCCTGCATCACCCTGCATATCAACAAAGTCACCCCTTGCTGGCCAAAAAACTCAGGTGAGCACTGATAGCAGTCAGTCAGTCCAGAGGTGTTATCTCCTCACTTTCCTGTCAGCTTGGCTTCTCCCAGGTCTTCCTAAAAATTTGGCATCTGCCATATTGGAAGGCAGCATAGCTTTTGAAAATGACTGAGTTTAATAGCATAGATGTGAACGTATCAGTTCTTCAGCCTGCTTGTTGGAACTGAAAAGCTCCCCAATATTCAAGATAGTTTTAAGTGAAATGCCAAGTTACTTGAATGCAACTAAAAGTTATTCAAACGCTTGCTTTATACAAATGATCTTTGTGTTATATGGCTTGCTAAGACCAGACCCTGCTGAAAAGAAGTCCCACTAGAGATGTGCTGGATTGTCCAAACCCAGCTTCCAGAGCATTGGGGTGTAATGCTAGCTATGACCATGATCAAAGTAAAGGTTTTTAGAGACTTGAGTGCACCACTAAATGGGATTTTCGTTTTCCAGTTACAAAGGTGTTCTAAATGTTACCTATTGGCACACTTGACCGACTCTCAGCAACAAAAGGCATTATGTACACAGCCTGTTTGCTTAGTCGCAGCCTCAGAACCGACCATGCGTGGGTGGACCATCAAGCTCACAGAGGCCTACGAAGGCAACAAGCTGCCACAAGGGAGCTTCTGTCCGTCTGTGCTGGATCTGTTGCAAGTCCTGACTCCAGTTAATGACAGCAAGGCATGATGTTCACCTTTCCGTGAAGCATCATTTCTATTGATGACAATGAAAGATTTCCGATGTCGTTTTCTCCTGCTGCAACAAAAATTGATGGAGAAAGTACATCTAAATTCTTTGTAATATATGTTTCAGTAAGAACTCATTCTTCAAGCAGAACTCAGTTTTTGAGCCTACTAATTCTGACAGTGTTTCCTGTTGTTTTTTTTTTTTCAGATGTGGCCTGAGTCAAAGAATTCACATGGAGGTACAAGCAGATGAGATACCTTTTAATTTTGATTTACATGGTGCTTGCAATAATATATGCAAATCCTATTATGTGTTTTCCAAGACTGATGTTTAAAAATTAATTGGTTTCCCTATCTTAATATACAGGTATATTTTTTAAAATGAATTTTAAAGTAATCCGGGTGATCTCAGCTTGTAGATCAGTCATTTCAGTATAGTACACTCTAGTCAGAACTAAAAGACTCAATGTATGTAACCTTACAGATTGCATTACACTAATTGTGCTTTATGAAGGTAAGATAAAATCTGCTAATTTATCAGGCCTACATTTTATTTACAACAGCACCAACAAGCACAGATTTTCCTTCTCAAGCATGGCAATCAATGTGTTGTCACTTGAGATACCGCTGTCCAGTCAACTCTAAACACCACCTGCATCGTAATAATCTGTGTCATATACTAAGACTTCCAGAACCTTTAAAAGGAAAAGTAAGTCTTCTTCAGACATCTCCTCTCCATGACTACTGTCCTGTATTACAACATGGACCAGGTGGATGCTAAGCATCAAGGCTTTCTAGCTGGGAATTGAAAGGGGCTCCACATTCCACTGATGGGACTCCAAAGGGCAATGTAACGCACTGATGCATGGATTACACTTCCTACATGCATTTTACTGTTCCCAGGCAAACTCTGCCCAAATTTTTAAGGTTTCTCCCTAGACAAGTACTTTTCCACCTTCTGAAATGAATTTATTCATCTTACTTAGGTATGGTTCATCCAACACCCTTTCTTCATTAGGTGCTGCACTGAAACCTCCAGACTACCACCAGCCTTGGATTATTTTCAGTCGCCTCTGACAGTCCTCTTAAGTTGTAATCAATGAGCAAAATAAAACTGATGATGTAAACAGGGCAATATCTGAACATAAATTTAGTAATAAAGTTTCTGAAAGCATACGTGTTTTTAAGGAACATTAATGAAGTATTAGGTAAAAACAATGAAGTTAAAAGCCAAGAAATATGGCATGGGAGAGAGATTTAAAACACAGACGAGCACTATGAGGCTTTCATTCACTCATTCCAAGAATTAGTTCAATGAGAAATGAAACTGGAAGTAGCTACTGTGTGATCACACAAGCAACTGGCAAGAACATGAAGATGTTCTTTTATTTATTTTAATGAACAATGAAGTAGCAAACAGTGCCACAGATGCACCTATGAAGAAAACAAGAATAACATTTTAAAAATTTATTTAATGAAGCTTGATGACACAGATAGAATTTCACTGTGTTTTTAAATTACAGCCCATTCAAGCTGCTAGAATGTGGTGGCTCAAGTACATCAAGCAAAAATAGTGATGGGCACTCTGGGTTACAGAACAAGTTTAACGAATGAGATATTCATACAGAGCAATCACAGGGAAGGTTAACTTGTGTGATATGTAGATATTTGTTGCTTAAGGGGAGCAACAATATTTAAAATCACTATTACATTCAAAGATAAAATTCAGCTTTAAATTACTTTGTGGTTTTGGAGAGTCGATGTAGAGAAATAAAACATCAGGTATAGCTTCCAGAAAAGTGGAAATTAAAGCTAAGATTCCTGAATGGCAAAGCAGGTGTGGATAATTTTATTAATTTGGTAAGGATTGGACTCTCAGCCACCATAGCTGAAGTAATAATAGATATTGAATTTCATAAAGGCAGACTTCATCTGAAGGCCTTGTGGTTCCATTTGTCTATTTGCATTAAAAAGTCTCTTTATTGGAGAGATTACAATTCCAGATGAAAATATGGTTGAAGGGCAGTTCAGTAAATCCATCCCTGCTCTGAGGAAGAACCAAGGTCTGTGTAGCATCCCTGCAGACCTTCAGCCAACCTACTCTTAGTGCAAGGTGTGGTAGTGTAAACACTCCCTTGCAGGTCATCTGCTCCAGAGCTGTTTAGCTAACTGTTAGAGTTAGAATGATTCTCCTAACATCTCACGTAACACCTTAACAAAATTTCAGAGAGAGAGAGAGCAGTCCATTGCGTTTTTTTATAGCAACCTTTTGGGTATTCGAGGTCTCTCATCATTCCCCTATTCTCCTCTTCCCCAGACTAAACAACAGGACAACAGATAAAACATGCTACAGCGTTTACATTAACTCCATCAGTGATTGCATGGTGTTTACATGTTTCTAAAACATCCCCTCAGCCCTCTGACATATAAACTTGGAGAGCTCAACAAAATGGGAAATTCAGCAAACATCACTCCACCACTATGGCTGCTTGGCTGCCATTGCCCAAGACACACTGTTCTGTATACAAGCCTTGGACTTTTCTCCAGATTTTGGCCAGACTGTTTCAAAAAGCACTGTGTCAAAGAATGAGGAAAGCTAAAAGCAAGATAGGGATTGGGCTTGGGGAGTCCTGTAACATTTTCGACTGCTTTTCTATTAAAATACAAACAGTAGTGTGGAGACCTCAGGAGCAACTTACATGGTTTTCTTTGGCCAGAAGGATAATGGGGAATTAAGAATATGCCACAATTCCAAATATTTTCAGAACCTATTAGCCTGTAAAGTATTAATGTGTGACCTCAGTGTCAGCCAGAACACTGATGGCTTGGCAGGTCTTGCAGCCAGGCTGGGCGCAGTCGCGGTGCTAAGGCAGGAGTCTGCAGATTGCTTCCTTTCCTGCTTTCCCCAGTGTTTTGCAAGAAGAATTCCAGTAATGACCCTAGCGGTATTCATAATTACAATCACTATGAAGTTGCAAGATGCCCCTTGCCTCTGGTTGCAGCAGGAACCCTTTCTGTTGCTCTGAAGCCCTGAGGTTCTCTCTCCCCCTCATTTTCTGCTTTCACACATCTTGGCAAGTGCTGGCTCTGATCCTGTAAAGCCTCAACCATACACATAGCTCTACCCATGATTAGTCCCTGCGGGACATACTAAAGCTTCAAATATGCGTAGGACTGAAATCAAAAAGAGTTCCTACTTACCAACACTTTGAATTTGTAACATTTTTACAGCAAAATATAATTATTCCATGATGTTCATTATGCAAATCATGATTTGTGTAGCAAAAAATGATACAAAGACAAGTTGCAGAGGAAGAAAAACAGTTTGTAACAGAATATCCCTTTAAAATCAAAATAACTAATTCAGAAATCATGTGTTTTTAGTTTTTCTAAATTCCAGCTGAGAACAGTGGTAATTTCAAATGATCAAAGCGAAGCAATAAAGTTGAAATAAAACTGACACAGAACATCCACTCAGGCCCATAGTTGCCATAGACCAGTAAACTTTCTGTTTACTCATTTCTCCCATTTGTCTCAAATTAATAGCTCGGCTCTGCTTAGTGCCACTGGCAGCACTGACAATTACGCTTTGATTCATACTTGGTGACTTGCTAATTCAAACAAGGGCACTCCAGCACACAGTGCTGGCTGAAAACAAGCAGGAGCCAGTTCTTCAGCCTCCCCACCCTGCTTTGTGAAGAAATGGGATGGGGCCATGTACTTGCTGTGACAGATACAACTTGAGGCAGTGTTACCTGGAGTCCTTTCCCAGCTCCTCAAATTCATAATTCCACCTGACTCATAAGTACCCTTAGTGCAACTATTTCATCCAAAGTCCTCAAAATGAAGAGGACATCTGGAAACGAAATGTGGCCTGTGGAATCTCTTCCTTGCTCATGAGTTCGCACACTAGAGACTAGTCCTGGTTAGAGTTTCTTGAACGTTCCTTGAATATTCTGGGAAACTGTCATCTCAAAGAGACTGAATGTCACTGACACAGCTGAGTGGGGCGGCATGGATTTGTATACAATACTATGAGCACAGCCCTCACCAAGGGGCTTTTCTGCTGTTTGAGGACACAGCCATGGGGTCTGACCTCACCACGTGCCAGGAGCACCAAGCTTCACACAGCTCACATTTGTCCCAAACCCACCAGCACCAATGGGAAGGCTCACAATGCCTTTGAGTGGGTTTGGATGGAGGTCAAAATGTAATTCTTGGCCATGCCTGCCTGCACTTTTCTTCCAGGATACTCATATTCCTATTAGGCAGAAATGCCTTCTGGAACAGACACGTTTGCTAGCAATTTTCCTTTCTTCTTCTTTGTTGACTACAAAATGCATGCTTATACAGGCACTTTCTTGTCACAGATGTAAAAAGGTAGATTTTACACCACAGATGATGAAAATGTATGTCATATGTCTGTCATATGTTTACTCAAAGGGTTTCAAAGAACTGTGCAAATATAAGGGAGTGACTCTCCATACTCCTTCCCTTCCCTTCCCTTCCCTTCCCTTCCCTTCCCTTCCCTTCCCTTCCCTTCCCTTCCCTTCCCTTCCCAGGCCATATTTCTGTGGCACAGACAGACCAGGAGGTGTGCCAGTACCAGTGTGAGCTCAGAGCTGATAGCCACGTTACTGCATCTGGCAATCTGTTCCCTGTGGCAATGGCCTTTCTAGCTCATACCATAGCCAACCCCAGCAGTGTCAGGTCAAAAGTCTGGCAGCATTAGATGTAGTCCAATAGCTCCAGCTCAATAAAGAGGTGAACAATTCAGCCCCACTGGCAGAGTCCCACTGGTGTGAGCAGTCACAGGCAAGTATAAGTAAAGGTTGACATAAAGGAAGCTTGGAGGCCTGGGAGCGCTGTCATCTAATTCCCTGTAAGCACCCCTGCCTTGCCAGGGTAAGCAGTAGAGCTGCTGTATGAGAAAATATAATCTGAGGAAACATTCTGTTATAAAGTGTACAGACATTCCCCAATTTTTATTTTCATCCTAATTGCTAACAGTACGTAAAAGTACTTGGGGCAGTAAAATTAACTAGGAACTTCTGTTTTAAGTATAGAAACCACAACTGTGGAAGCTCAGCATGCTTGTGAATACCACGAAAATGTGAGCCCTAATGCACTGTAGCTGCAATCTGATTCCAAGCATCTGTCCTCTAATGGGTAAATCCGTGGGGGAAGGGGCCTTCTGATCAGGGAGTCAAGTCCACATTCTCATTTCCTAGACAAAGAAGTTCTCTTGTCATCTTCTAAGAGATGTCATTTTGCTCTTTTAGTAGCAAGCTTGATTGCAACAGGTAGTAGAAACCCTCTAGAAACTGCCCCTCCAAACTGAGGACTTCCTAGTAGAAAAGCTGCTAATGCAGAGTAATTAATGTTTTTTCCCCCTTACTTCTGCAATGATGCACACAATTAACATTTTTCACATTTCCAGTGTGATTGCCTTTGAAAAATTTAGCTAAATCTTGCCTTTCACTTTTGGTCCATGTCCCATTGATGCCCCGTCCCTGGAGGAGTTCAAGGCCAGGTTGGATGGGGCACTGGGCAGCCTGGTCTAATATTAAATGTGAAGGTTGGTGGCCCTGCCTGTGGCGGTGGGGGTTGGAACTTCATGATCCTTGAGGTCCCTTCCAATCCAATCACATTCTGTGATTCTGTGATTCACCAGCCTACAAGCTTCCCAGTTCTCACCATTGCTGTCATGTTCTTCCTCTGCCAGTGCAGAAGACAGGAGGGCAGGA